CCCATTTCATATGGGTTTAGGTGGTTGCTCTACCTTCACTTATGTGTGTTGTGGTTTTTATGAATGATTGAGCATATTGTGGAGTTTAATATAGTCTTGGGGTGCTGCAGTCGTACGAGAACCGTAACAAATACTTATAAATTTTGCCTATTGCTGCGTTTTAACTAAGAACCGCAGCAATTGGGTAGCAGCAAATAAAGAAAATTCTAGTAGTGTACTTGGCATGCATGTCTAGGTTTTGTATGTGAGTAAGGTCATGAAATAAGTGTTTTAACTAAGAACCGCAACAATTGGGTAGCAGCAAATAAAGAAAATTCTAGTAGTGTACTTGGCATGCATGTCTAGGTTTTGTATGTAGATAATCTTTTTGATATTGTAGATCCTTTTATTCTAGGGAATCGATTAATTCCTAGGATTCCTAGGATTCACTCTGTACCTATTTAAGTTCGGTAAATGAGAAGAAAATCTATTCCTCCTATTTTCTTCTTTTATGGTATCAGAGCCGTATCGCCAACTTCCATGGCAGGCCTGAACTCGAGCGATATCAACACCAGCTCAACTGGTGACTCCGCCCGAACCAAATCCTGTATCGCTTTTGATTCTATGCAGAATCTGGCGATTACCTCCATCAAACTAAATGGAAATAATTTCCTCCCGTGGTCGCAATCAGTCAAGCTTTTTGTCCAAGGAAAAGGCAAATTTGGCTACCTCTTGGGAACAACAGTTCAGCCAGACCCCAAAGATGATGGATACGAATGATGGGAGGCCGAGAATTCCATGATTATGTCATGGTTGGTGAACTCAATGGAACCAGAAATTGGCCGAACCTATTTGTTTCTCCCATCCGCGAATGCGATCTGGGTTGCCCTAAAGGAAACCTACTCAGATTTGGGGAATGCTGGGCAATTATTTGAGATCAAGACACAATTGGGAAAGGCGAAACAGGGGGAGAAGAGTGTAACTCAGTACTACACAGCTACATTGATATCATGACACTTTGGCAAGAGTATGATCTGTTTTGTGATTATACATGGCACTGTCCGAAGGATGCTGCCCTCTATCGGAAAATTGTTGAAAAGGAAAGAGTTTTTGACTTTCTTGCTGGCCTGAACAAAGAACTTGATGAAGTTCGAGGGAGACTCTTTGGTCGAGACCCACTTCCAAGTACACAAGAGGTGTTCTGGCACAAAAAGGTATCTTAGAAGCAGCCCTTAGTGTAAGTTTAGAAAAATCCAATCCCTGGATCATTGATTCAGGGGCTACTGATCACATGACTGGGTCTTCCTACATGTTTTCTGATTACTTTCCTTGTTCTGGTAATCAAAAGGTAAAAATCAAGTATATGCAATTGCAATTGTCAAATATATCAAACTAAATGTGATCAAGTACATATATCTCTATGAATATGATAGTCGCTAGGACATATATACTTACAATCTCCCACTTAGCCTATTGTCAATCACCCATGCGTCTAACACCTAGACTTTCAAAAGTCTAGTGTGTTTCTCGCATCTCAAAAGTTTGGTGAAAACACATCCAGGTAGATGGGAAACAAGCCTGGAATTTTTCTTTTAGAACCGGGTTCTTTTATTAAAAAGGCTACTACTGGAGGTTTGGAAAGGGGAATGATATTAATATCTTCTGGACAGTGAACATCCTGTGGTAGTTACAGAACCTGTTTTGGGCTTGGAGCAGGCTAAAGTCGAAGGACTGTTGTGTTTGCGGTCTGTGTGGGGCAGGGGAGGAATCACTGCACCATCTCTTGCCTGGTCTCAAGAGAAGCCAGGGCTGGTGTTGATTGGAGCTGGTTGTCTATACTGAGAGGCCGTTTTTGGAACAGGTGCAGCGATAATTCTCTGTGAAGAAGGAGGACGGGTTATGCAAAATGATTTGGGGGCTTGTGGTGCGAGAGAAGTAAAAGGCTTTGGGAAGGAATTGAACTGAAAGTAAATCAATTTTGGTGAAGGCTCGGTCGGGTCTTTGTTGTGCACAAGTCTGCTTTTGGGAAAGCATTCATTTGGGAAGTGCTACTGCGGGCTGGAGAAGGCCTTTTCCAGGTAGATGCGGCGGTTAGTCAGAGACACGAGTTCATAGTGGGGTTTGCTATCCCCATTGGAAGCCAGACTGGTGGGTATTAGAGAAGCCATGAGTTGGATTTGTAGATGTGGACTCTTGGGGAGCCATCATGGAGATTCTTCGTGGTTGAGAGATTAATCTCTGTTATCTTTTTTTCTCATATTAGATATATAATATTACACTCCCAATTTGGGCTCATCACTGCAATAATATAATGGGTAGGTCCAAATAATTCTTGGTTGATAAATTTTTAAATTAATCGACATCCTAATATTAATACTGACGCTTGGATGACTCGAGCTAATTTAAGTAAGTCAAAACCATCACACAATCACAAACAATTGCACCTATCAATTAGTTCTACATTTTGTCTAATGGAATAAGTATTTGGGTGATATATTATTCAACGACAAAATATATCTACTATTTTAATTATGATTGGTGGTGTCGTTTATTCTATATAAGACTTAAATTTTGATTTATGAGAAACATTTACCGAGGTATTAAATTACTTAATCAAGATGTTATAACATATTATCAAATAATATGTTAATGAGATATATCTCAAACATATAAATTAAGCATGCAATATAAATCTAATTTATAAACAGATACAATAGACAAACATAAGCATGCTTAAAAAATAGGATTAACAATTAGAATTAATCCTTCTAAAACTCAAAGATAATTAAAGTAATTAAAATAAGATTAATTTGATCTAATTATTGTTAAAATTCCATATTTGTACGGAATATAAAAACTGTCAAGCAGTCATTAGACGTTAGAGAATTTGCAAGGATGCTCTCAATTTCAATTTAATTTACATAAATTGGGTCCAGCCCAAATAAATTTAAGCATCGAAAACAACTCTTGGACCTAATCAAATTTCTCAAATCCAAAAGACTCATTCTAGATGACCTGATTTTGACATAACAACGAATAACAATAACAATAATATATCAAAGTTAGAACTTACATATCTTAGCGGCGATAAAGTTTGACCATAGGTATATATCCATATGATTCTACTTTTCGAAAGAACAGTTAGATCTCTCGAAAGAAAAAATTAAGAAATCTCTTGTCAAATAAATAAACTGGTAATACTGAATCTTAAAACTGATGTGTAAATTATGAAGGATGGTGATATATTTATACTAGTTCTAAATTAATTTTGCAATCACAATAAAAATCTTACTCACTAATGAGTTCTAATCCTATCAGGACCAATACTCACTAATAATTAGGTAAAATAATATACAATAGTAATAAGAGGAAGGGAGGGCTCACGCCACTCACCTCTTCTCTTTTTTATTAATATTTAATATGTTATTTCCTTTTTAATTCTAAATTACAGAAGAAAATATTACCTTTATTTAATTACAAATACATCTTAATTAAGTGTAATAAATCTAATTTATCACACTGTACTAATTCTATCGAATAGAACTCTCCTTCAATATCATGAATTAAATATAGTTTAATGTAACTAATATTTAATCCATTGTCAGTATTACAACTTAAATATTATTTAGTCCAATTAATACTCAATTCATTCTAACAATTCAATTGGAATGTATAATCACTTGTTGTGTGACTCATAGGACTTCTATATTAAACACTAATCAAATTAAGGACTTAGCAAATCACTAGACGATTCTCCAGACAATCTTAGTATAGAAGGACGTCTGCAAGGACAATTCAAACTTCCTGTAATACAGAGTTTATAATGACACTGTACTTTCATTCAACGAACATTCAACTAAATCTAGAAGATGATATTGTGTCTATTTCAATAACTTAGCCTCTGTCTCTCAATCTTTCTAGATGATCCATAATGATCATATTTGATATCCAAAACGGGTATATCTTTGCATTGGCCAATGACTTTATGATCCATCTACATACGCGAAGTAAAATGTTTATCTCTAAATCTATTGTGAGGAATGAATTCTTTCTTGGCTCAACTACTACTCCATGTGCTTCATGATGTACCAACACATGTGGTGTCTACGCTGGTTAGAATGCAAGCGTTGGTCATGGTCAAAGTACATCACTATGCACATGTAGTAAGTATTGACCTCAAATTGGAGGACTATCATATTATTTTATACACCGATAATCACATAGACACATGAATAGAACTTATCAAATGATTTCTCGGTGGGTATATCAATAATCTCTAAAATATCCATGTGACCATCATGAATTACAAGAACTCATAGTTGTGAGATCAACTATACTTTCTAAAAGAATGATGCAGTCCACATGATAATCTTATCGCATATCATCAATATACATTTCTTGATGATCATTGATTGCGACTATTTTATAACCTTATGTTATATCTTATAAGCTCCCACTTATTTAGTGACAACTTAAGTCCAAGTGAACACAATTATGAATAAAACATTGACAATCGAAATACTTACTCATCAATGTGTAATATCCTATATATCAAATATATAAAACTGAATGTGATCAAGTATATATATCTCTATGAGAATGATTGTCGCTATGACATATATACTAACAATATGCATGACTTCTAACCCTACCCGCCTTGATTAATATGTGTGTTGTGTTCTTGGACAATCCCAAAGCCACACCTAAAGACCTGATGATTATTCTTTTGTGTAAAGGGATGCCTTTAATGAAGTCGTCATCATATTGTATGCTTTTCCTTTCCACTTTACTTGCCTTCTCGCTTTGAACATCTATAGGCAACCCACTCCACATTTGCTTCTTTGCTATGTTCCAGATTCTACTCACTGTCTTGTCACACTGAACTCCACATCAAGTTTGCTTATTAAGCCCTGAAAACTTGAAGTGGTTGTACATTTTTTGATGTCATTACCAATTGTTGAATAATTATGTCCTTTTCTGCATTACTCAGATTTGTCTTTCTCTTTCCTTGGTCATGTGCATTTAATTCTTCCGTAGGGGGCTGATTTGCATTGAATGACACAAGATGTTGGGTGTTTGTAGTATTAACTACTGCAACTTTCATGTGGAAAGCTAGTCCACTCGTGAGGGAGAGGAAGGTCTCTCGCAGCTTTCAGAAAATTATACTGTTTTGTAGCGCAGTTTAGTGTATTGTGTTAAAAAGTTTGGGGGAAAGTCAAAAGTTTCCTCCATTTTATAACTTTGCTTCTATTGTATATTGGGAAAGGGGCATTGTAGCACTGCCTAAATGTAAGGGAGTGGAACATGAAATTCAACGCAATCATTTTTATTCTTGTTTCCTATTTTAATTTTAAAAGTAAGGGAGCATTAAGGGTATCTCACTTTAAAAATTTCACGTTTATTTCGGAACAGAGGGGTATCACGTTTATTGAAGACCGAAAAGAACTTAGTAGCTCCGGCCCAATTTGAAACCACCCTGAGAGAGGATGGAGGAAGAGGAAGGCGGAGGGCCGAGGCTGAGCAAGAGACTCGCCGATAAGGGTGGAGAAGTGGATTACAAGACCAAGGCGGGAACTGCCTGGTCTCACAACTTCCTTAACCAGAAGCCTTGGCACCCACTCTCTTACCCTAACCAACGTCGGAAGTGGATCGCCGAGCAGACTCATGCCCAGAAGGAACGCCGCTCGGAAGAAATTGCCCGAGAGGTATCTAATACTACGTACTTTCTCCTTCTTCTACTGTTACTTTTACTTCCTTTCGTAATTTATTTGGTTTGTTAGTATATTTTCTCTCAAATTTTCGGATCAACCAATTCCAGATAAGCATTATGTTCCATGTTAATGTAACATGCATTTGAGGTTTGGCCAGGTAAGGAAAATATTCAAATTTTTTAAAAACAAAAAGGAAAGTTGTATTTTACAAAATGGATTAGGGAGTACGTAGTATTATTTTGTCCACGGGTATTTACTAATTAGCAGCCCCATTTTAAAACATCTTCAGTATGCTCAAGAACAAGAGTTTTTTCGTCAGACTGCTTTGGCTTCCAAGAAGGAAAAAGAAAAGGTAACACTCACTTCCCACATGAACTTTTTCTGCATTTAATGCCAAAATTATGGGAATCTATATGTTGGCTATATATGTGCATTCATACAGATTTTGGTTTGGATTATACAATGTTTTGTAGTTGGAGATGATGAAAGCGGTTAGCTTTATGTATGTGAGACCTCCTGGTTACAACCCGGAAAGTGCTAAGGCTGCAGAGGTGGGAGATGAGAAGAAAAAGCAAGAGAACAATGGAACTTCTCAGGCTCCAATAGCTGCTGAGGATGTTTCTGAGTCAAAGTAATGCTCTTCTCAAGATTCACTGGTTAATTGTTTTGAACAGACAGAGCTTAAAGAATTACAAAGCTATACTTGGTTATGTATTTGTTTTCTTGAAGTGGTAGACTGATCCCCTTACCCCACCATAGGTGGGAGCCTTTGCGGCACTGAGGTAATGATGATGATGGAGTGGACTGATGAAGTTTTTTTTCTCTATGTTTTCCTTTGATTTAGGTTACCTGAATCTGTTGAAGAGAAAAAGAGACCAAGGCCAAAGGATGTGTTTGGCCGGCTCTTACCCACAGAAGATCAATTTGAAGTCCTCAAAAATGCTCCAAGGTATGTTATTCTTTTTTATATCTGGAATCACTATGGTGGTTTGTTTTCCAAGCTATGTTAGTAAAGAAGCTTTGAGAAAGTCAACCGCTCAACCTTATATTTACTGAACTAGATGGGGATGAGATGGAATCTTTACAAGTATGGCTTAAAGAAGGTTAAACACTGAAATGTAGAAGTATGTTCACCGAGAAAAACATTTTGAGTAGTCCATGCATCAAAGGAATATCATACAACGCTGATGTAGGAATTATTGTTGAGTTAGATGCAATAATTAACTTCATATGTGATTCTCATTTTTATCCTTTTGCAAAGTTGATCAATCAATTACTCCTATCTTTGAATTATGCAAAATTAAAATTTAAATAGGGTTGAACTTGGTATTGGAAAATCACAAGCACATCTAACACAGGAACTGGACTATCTTTGTGGAAGGGACCAAAATGGAATACAAGTCTATATTTGTGTGATGGTGGGAGTATATAAAATGATCAAGTGGTAGTAAACTCAATGCCATAAACATTTATTTATCACCATAGGCCTTATATAATACTTGTAGGGTGTGTTTAGTTCGAGTGGAGGGGGGAATAATTTTAGCTCTTCCCACTCTTCAAGCAAAACACACCCTTAAATTTTAAAAAACAGCCCTTCCCCTCCATAGCCCAAAACAAACCTCCTTCATCCAGCTGATCTACTACTTTTTCAACTGTATTGGTGCTCATTTTTAGTGTCGTAGATTTGATTTTTTTGCAAGCATTGATGATTCTAGGTTATTTGTTACCCAGGCTGGACACAGGTGCCCCTGGAAGGGCAAAACCTTTTGCTGTTGAGATACGGAATGTCAAATGCGTAAGGTGTGGAACCTTTGGCCATCAAAGTGGTGATCGTGAATGCCCATTGAAAGATGCTATCATGCCAAACGAGGAGAGTCGGTTAAGAAGAGATGACCCTTTGACTGCTATCATAGCTCAGACAGACCCAATCGAGGTTGATAATATATCCCATAAAGTGGCCCAATCTTTTTTTTTTGTCACGTTTGTGAGATTCAACAACAACAACCAAACCTTAGTCCCAAAAGATTTTGTGGTCGGCCAACATAAACCAACACATGATATTTTGCAGATAGCCAATTAAAAGACGCAGCAGTTTATTGTGGCTAATACTATGTAGTTGGTCTCAATGGAAGGGCACCGTTAATCAATGTTACACAGAATTATCTGATCCCTGTAGTTTTATAAATGAATTTTAATGATAAACGACTCAACATGTGTTTTTTGGGTTTTCTCTGGCAGCCGTTAAAGTGGGAACTGAAACATAAACCTGGATTGAGCCCTCCACGAGGTGGGTTTAGACCTGATGATCCCAATCAGCAGATAGTTGCAGAGGATATATTTGACGAGTACGGAGGTAAGCTCTCTAAATCAAGGATGGATCTTGAACTCACTCCCCTCCCCCTGGATTGACCCCTAACTCTTCAAGTGGCTTATAATCGGAGTACAGTGACCCAAAAATGACAGTGATTGACATTGGACATGTCGTGTAGGCAGGCACCCAAAAACATACACAATTAGATATGTGAAGAGATGGGTGAAGAATGATAAGACCAGTTGCAACGGTAAAAAGAACACATTGTAAATTAAAACTTTTGATATGTGTGGACTGGGAAACCTGGAGTTTATACTGTAAAATTTCGTTTTACATCTTTATAAATGCACCTAAATGCATTTGTGTTTGAGACGTCTCAAAGATCGGCATGTCAAAAGTTAATTCCACCTTTTTTGAAAGTTGGAGTCTTGGAGATCATAGTTGAGTTAGTTTAGTTAAGATTATGGGCATAAGAGGAAGGGAGGAGTTCAAGGGCAATCAGGGCTTTTTGTTGTTGTTCTTGTTGGAAATTCAAGATCATTCTTGAGTAGCCATAAATCTTTTTTACACTAGGGAGCTAGTTGGCTGCAAGTACTAAGGACTTGTCTGATAATTCGCAGGGTTCCTAGCTGGCGGTGACACTATTCCTGACATTTTGCTATCCAACTTTTCAAGAAGTAAGCGAAACAAAAATAAAAAATCAAGTAAGAGAAGCCACCGGAGGAGGGGGGCATCATCAGATTCAACTCATCGTGATTCAACTCATCATGAAGAAACCTGTTCTTACTCTTCTGATGATGGTGATGATGATGATAGGAGAGGAAGAAGGAAATTAAAGAAGAGGAAACACAAAACGAAGAAGCATCTTAAGTCAGAAGAGGAGGAATCATCATGTGGCCATGCTGACAACCATCATCAGAAGGGAAGAACTATCATCAAATTGAGGCACAACTCTGATTCAGCCACCAGAAAGGATAAGAAGGGGGGAGGAGTCCACCACCACCGCCATCACAATCATAGGCGTCACCATTTTCATTCTGTATCAAAAGAATGACATAATTACACTTTCTTGTGCAACATATATTTTATCTGTAATTACACGAAAGAGTGTATGGAATATACGGAGTATATTTTATCAGTTTTGGATGTAAATCATTCATTTTTTATTATAAGACTTATTAAAATATTGAAAAGATGTGAGTATTTATCTAGAAGCTACCTGAATCAAATTTCAAGCCATATTAATAAACACAGAGTCAGTCACCCATAGCTCATAGGGATGGACCCGGATTGATCCGGTCCTGGTACCGGGCCGAGACTGCCCGATCCTACCATTAATATTTGAAGTCCGGCCTGACTCATATAATTCTGGTTCTGGGCCGATTTCGGGTACCCAATTGCTTCAGTCTTTGGCTGGACTCGGGCCGGTTCGAGCCCGGCTGGGCCTCGGTTCATGAAAGGGGAGGCCCGGAACCGGCCCGGGTAACCCCCGGGTCCGGGCCGGGCCTCAGTTCAATTTTGTTTGGTTTTTCCTAATTAACCCCCAACCCTCCCCCCTCGCCCCCAAACCACCTCAAATGGCCCAAAATACCCAACCCAAAAACTTAAAAAAAATCAAAAAAAAAAAAGAAAAAAAAATAAATTGGCCCGGACCGGGTCCGAACCGGCCGGGCCGGTTCACCTTTTCAGGGGCCCGAGCCCGGACCGGAACCCCAGCGGGTCGGGCCTACCCGGACCGGTCCCTGGCCGGGCCGGCGGTTCGGGCCGGTTCAAACAGTAACCGGTTTCGGGCTGGTTCCGGGCGGGCCGCTCGGCCCAAATCCAGGCCTACTTCAGTCCCGGACCTCGAGTCAATGCGCAAGGAATGAAGTGTCTCCACCTCGGGGCAGCATATGACTATTGACATGTAGACGACTCTCCATCATTCTCACCAGCGTTGCTCAAAATACAGCACCTCTAAGCTCCATCTTGCAGATGGGAGAGAACCTGACACCTCTTCCTCCTCCCCCCACCACCTGCAACACTGCCCCTGACCATCAACCTACTGCAGGTGGATAACGATGAAGGTGTCGTCCCCCAAGACAATCTTGGAAGCAGTGTATCACCACTTCACTCCGATTACTTTAACGCTACTTCTTTTGTAAGAAGTAATCATTTGTAGAAAAACAAATAATTTTCCTCCGATGTCTTCGTACAAGATATGTAGATGTAACTTTCAGAATAGGTTGAAGAACGAGGATGAACTTGTGTTGAGAGTTGGGTGAAAGATATGAGTTGCAAATCTTTCAAATTCTCGTTTGAATTCTTGTGTAGAGTATGTAGTTGTTTGCTCTCAAGAATTCTCTAGTTGTCTTTCAAAGTTCGTGGTTCAACCGTTCTTCTAAGTGTATCTTATATACTAGTAGTAGTCTTCCTGTTGGAGTGTGGATGACAACTTCATTAAATGCATGTCTTGTAGACTTGGTCGTGTCAGCTTCAAGGTTCTTGTCAACATACTTCTTTGTATGTTCTCCTATTAAGAGGCTCCTCCACATAAGCTTTGTCTGTTAGTTTAACAGAACCAGTTTAAAGACTTAAGCTATTTGCATGAGGCATTTTCTGTTATTGCCGAATCTGCCAAAGGCAAAATATGTTTTCTACAAATTTGTCTGGGCGTCTCAGGTATTAGCCGATTCTGCTAGAGGTGAAATCGGTTCCCTACAGATTTACTTGGGCGTCTATGTCTCTGGTCAAGACTTGCTCACGAATCTGACAGTCGACTAACTCTATTACTTTAAAATTGAAATTACTCAGTACATTTTATCTATTAGAGGGGTGCTCTAGATTCTTGATTACATGTCATCATCAAAATTTAATATACCAGTACAATTTGTTCCATACACAACTCACGCGCAAGTCAACTTGAGCGCAAATACACATCAGCCTTCAACGGGCTAGTTGTCCGACAATGTCGGTCGATGTCCGAGAGGCCCGTCATGATGAGTAGAGGCCCCGCTCCCCCAGGACTGCCAAGAGTCAGTGTCCCGGATAGCAGATCGACAACCACAAGACAAAGGGAAAGAGAAGCTCCACGAGGAGGATATGCGACATATGATCAATCAGGCGCACAAAGGAAGGGTGCAAGCGCACCAACAAGGGGTTGCAACGAGGGGCAGGGACCCGAAGGACGCGGTGATTGCCTAGCTTAAAAGATACCTGGCTGATATGGATGCACGATAGCGCCACACCAGCGGAGCATCAGTCACGACAAATCCTGACCCCGCCATCGCCGCTTTACTACAAAAGGTCGACGACGTACATCAGAAAGTAGCAGAGGGCTAGAGGAGCCCATCAGCTAATTACGGACGAAGACCCGTTTGCCTCAAGGGTCTTTTTTATGTCATTTCCACATTTGGTCTACGTTTTTTACTTTGACCACTTTTGATACATGAGTATTGTGTTTTTGCCCATACATGGTCCTTCCGGCAACAATTCTGGTGGTTAAAATCGCCGGAGAAGGACAACAAATGGTCAAGAAACATTAGTCAAGTAGCAAAAGTGGACAAACTAAAAGACGTGGACTAAATGTGGAAATGACATAAAACTCGTAAGACCAAAAGTGGAAACAATTTGATATCATTTAATGAATAAATTAATGAATGAATAAGTTACTCATGTCCTATAAAATTCTTTCCACTTACCATTTTGGGATGTCCCATTTTTTTCCCAAATCCCTTTTTTGGAAAATTTGTGTGACAAATATCTATTTACCACTTTTTCAACCATTATCATACATTTTCACTTTATTTCTACTTTCTTAAACTCTGATTAATATCAAAGCGTGAAGAATTTTACGGAATAGATGAAGTAGTTTAATTCAAAAAGTCAAATGTAATAAAAACAGAGCATCAGGAGAAAATAATTGAAATACCCCAAACTTTGAAGGAGTGTGAGATGAACACTTCAAACTTGCATATGTAATCCAAATAACCCAACTTTATATAAAAAGTTATTTTAGCACCATAGTCAAGTATTATTTCTTTTAGAAAAGTAAATTTATGGTGTTAATTGCATAATTTAAAATATTTTAGATTTCATGAAGATACAATTAACGTTCTAAATTTCCATTGCTAAATAAATAATATTAACCTCAATCTATATAATTTCAATACTTGTAATTTTCTATTTTAAAATATGCAATTAACCCCATAAATTTACATTTTTGGAAGAAATAATAAATGACAATAGTGCAAAAATAACTTTTACATAAAATTTGGGATGTTTAAATAACATATACAAGTTTATGATGTTTAGGTCTCACACCTTTTCAAAAAGTTTGGTATTTATATTTTAGAGTTTTTTGTCCTAAATAGGACTAAAGTGATGCTTAAATTCTTAAATAGGAGTAAGTATCTTTTATTCCTTAAATAGGACCACTATTCCAATTTTACCCCTCCAATTAATTTTAATCGTGCTATTTCACCGACTCAACAATTCGGGTTGCAAGTACGCGCAACAGAAAGCTTGGTGGCGACGAGCAAGCACCTGCAGACGGAAGCAAGCAGCGGCGATGAACGGCGGCAAAGTGACGATTCGCAGCAGTAAGCTATGAGCGGCGGCCGGTGATCTTCTCTTCCTCTCTGTCTCTTCGCCGAGCACATTTGTTTTTCTGCAATTTTTTTTTTGATTTTTCGTCTGGATCTGGTTTGGCGTCGCCGCCGCCAAGCCCTTGAAGTCTTCCTCGATCTACAATGGATTTGTGCTGTTGTTTTTACATCTTTTCTATTTTTGTTTGTTTCTGAAATCTTCTAATCGATTTGCAGTCGTTTCACTTTTTGTATTCTCCTTCTAATGACAATTGTTCTTCTTCCTCAAATTTGGTTTTTAAAAGATGTGAAATTTTTGTTTTAAAAATGCCATAAAAATGTCATTAATAGTCTTCAAAAATGTCATTTTTTACTTTGGAAATGCTATTAATATGACATTTTTTATGCAAAGTGGCACTCTTAGAAAAAAATATGGCATTTTATTTTGGTAAAGAACAATGATAGTGCTGGCCGCTGGGAAATGGCATAGGCTGTGGAAGATGTTGCCATCATTAACTTCCCACGTCACCAAATTGTTTATTTCGAAACACATACTATCTACTCCCTCCGTCCCTAATAACTTTGCCAAGTTTGACCGGCACGGGGATTAATAAAGTAAAAACTGTGTGGTTGAGGTTTGTGCAGAGGAGAGAGAATTAACTGGAACCACAAATTCTTTACTTAAATGGGAAAGTGGCAAAGTTAATGGGACATCCAAAAAAGGAAAGTTGGCAAAGTTATAAGGGACGGAGGGAGTATATGGGGGCGTGAAATGATAAGGATAAATCTGGAATCTAGAGATTAATCACTCCTATTTTGGGAAGATAAAATTTTTACTCCTAGCTATTATTTAGTCCCTTACGCAATAACCCCTATATTTTATACACAAGTACTACCTAGTTTTTAAGAAGGGAGCTAGTACCATTTCTTTGGCGCCTTAGCCGAAAGTCTGCGGGTTATTTTTCTAGGGTTTTGCTTCACACCAAAAAAAGAAAGCATGGCTTCATCTACTCGAATTTTCGGCAAGGGGTGCCGGATTCTGATGGCCGCCGCAAAGAGCTCCACTGCCCCTACCTCAGTCGCTACGTCTGCTGTGAAATCTAGAGGCCGTCCAAACGGAATTCTGAAGCCGATCAAGGTTTCTCCGGCTCTAGAGAAGTTCATAGGCGCGTCTGAGGTCTCTCGTACTGACGCCGTGAAGAAAGTATGGGAATACATCAAGGCCCAAAATCTTCAGGTTTATCTTTCTCCTTTGTATTTGCATTATTATGTTCATGGAAACGATGGTCTGTTTTGATAATTAGTCTGCGTTTGATGAGTTGGGGCATATATTTGTTCAGTTTTCTCAGTGTATTCTGGGATAGTTGGATGCTTCTCTCCGTGTGTGGGTTTTACGATTCTGTTTGCATAGAAAAAATTCATAGCACTGTTTAACTTTTTTGAAACTTCTGGTAAGTATAAAACCCCTACGGAGAAGAGCTATTCTGTTTCTGTTAAAGTTCAAATACAAAATAAAAGAATTGGAATCATGCAACGGAATATGACGAATAAAACATTTTTACAACCAATAAGCAGTATTCTAATTCTGCTTAATATGTTCTTTTGGTGTTCTTTGTTGCTTAATCTGTAGCTGCCTCGCTTCCCATAGATAAATAATGATAATGAACCAT